AGATGAAGAATTTCCAGAAGAATGGAACGACGGCATCGTTATACCACTAAAGAAGAAAGGTAATAAACTTAATTGTAACAACTACAGAGGAATATCACTACTGAAAACGCCATATAAGGTGTTCTTAAAGATATTACTAAAAAGACTACAAACCTTTGCAGAGAAATATATAGAGGAGTACCAATATGAGTTCCAAATAAATAAATCGACAATAAATTATCTACTGGTGATTGGATAGGTTATAGGAAAAAGTTTGAACACAACAAAACGTATTGTAGGTATTTGTCGACTTCAAAAAAGCCTATGACATTATTCATCGGAAAAGCCTTTATAGTCTAATATACGAATTCGGAATCACAAGTAAGCTTATTACCCTGACAAAAGTATGCATTAACAATACAAAATATCAAGTAAGAGTCAATAACGCACTATCCCAAGAATTCCAAGTTTTCTCTTTCACCGCTACTGTTTAATATTGTAATAGAGAAAGTTATACGGAATATACAGTGGTATAATTGTGCCATCGACATCGGCACAAACAAGATTAGTATTTTGAAGATGATTTGAATATAATTGTTGACGATGGGGAGAGTGTGGTGCAGAGCTTCTCATCTTTCATCAGCGAAGGAAAAGTCAGAGGGCTGAATGTAAATGATAATAAAACCAAAGTATTAGGTCTATCACTAAACAACCAGGACGACAATGTAGTGTTTCAAAGATATATATTTGAAAAACTACAACAATTTATATAGCTGGGGGCATATCAATATAATTACTTACGGAAACGTTTTATTTATAAGTAATATGATTTCCTTATATATCATCAACGATTAATATTCATATTTAAATAATTAGTTGTACAATAAATAACTTTTGTATAATTGTCATAATCAATTTTATCAAAATATATGTATTAAATATATTATAACTAAACTTCATAACATTTTCAGAGATATTAAGATTTGTTGAATTAAACGTTATGAAAATATAGCAGAATTTGTAACATCTTTTAAAGTTCGGATAAATAAATATAATAATAGTTTAATATACAAATGTAAATCTAATTTTACCTTGATTATGGTGTTTATTACTTTACAACAAATATCGTATATTTATATTAGTATGAAACATTGATAAAATGTGTAATAAAAACATAAATAAATAAATAAATAATTAATATGTATTTTACTAGTTTAGAATTCTATCAAATATTTTTTTATTTATCTGGAAGAACAATACTATTTAAATTAATATTTATTTATATAAATTACTTACGATAACGATGCATTATAAAATAATACGATTTCTATGTGTAATATCTACGACAGAATTTTATATTTAAAAGATTCTAATAACTCTATATATTTTATCACAAATATTATTTAAATAACTTACCCTTATTTTTATTGAGTAAATTTTATAAATAGTGTCGGTGTGACCAAGTCGGTAACACGACGGTGATTGATACGCGTTATATTATTGAGCATGTATTTTTTTTATCTGAGAAAATAAATTTTATTGAAAGATCGACACCAATATTTTATAAAACTTCATCTGGTCTTGCCAAAATAAGATTCAAAAATATTTATATCTATTTAGAAATTTATCAGGGCGATATTTTGATGCCCCAATGTTTTCCGGCGCTGGATGCTTGAAAAGTTGCAAAACGATATTCACTAAGACAAAAATTCAACTCTAAAAATACCTCCATACATTTCTTTGCGCTATCCACCGCTCGATGTTCGTTAGAACAAAGGCATTAGCAACAAGACTACTCCATCGGCGTAGCCAAAATTTTTTCCATGTAAGGGGGTTGATAATTTAATTACCAATTGGTAGTCGCTCATAGTCTGTCGATACCGAGGTCTCAGTTCTTGGTTAGTTCAGAAATGCAAGATAAAGGACATACGTTACTTGGCTTCCCAAAATTTTTTAATTGCTTTATAGCATAAATATAATATATATGTATACATAAAATGTCTAAGAATACTTAAGTGAATTCATTGAAAACAACAAAAATAACATATATGAATAAGATGAAAATTTTTGTAGTGGCGTATTTAGAAATTATTTCATAAGATTCCTAAGGTTTAAATAATTTTCAACATGAATAATAAAGGAGAGCTTCTTCTCTATTTAACTATGTCAATATTAAATTTATAATATTTCAGTATAATTGCAATTAATTTGCCGTTAACCCCTAAATTTCTCCTAAAGTTATAAAAACTTTGAAGAAAAATGTTTTTAATTGATTTTATTCAATGATATGTATTTCTCTATTTTTGATAAGGGTGCCAATTTTATTTTTTTAATTACAACATACATATTTAACTAGCGATTCTAGCCATTCAATTTCTATTAAACTAATCATTTTTTTTTTCTTTTGTCAATTACATATATATCTATATTTATCTATCATATGAACACTGTTTGTCATTTATCTATGTTATCTACCTTGTTTTTTTGCTCTGAATTTCATGAGAGTAAACGGGTTAAACAAGTTAGGGACACAAACAAACGTAAACACAGCGACACTGACAATTGTAATCAGTATATCTTTATGCATACATTCTATATGTATAAATATATATGTGTGCGCGCGCATTGTGTCATATTTTAGTTATCACAAAACGACAATAAAAATGATTAAAGATGATTTTCTTCTTCGTCTTCCTTGTCTTAATCCCAACTACTTAGGGTCGACCTTTTTATCATTAAAGATGATAATAATGACGAAAATGATTCAACTATCCAGAAAATGTAACGTGTAAAAATGAATAAGGAGCTGATTTTATAAAAAATAATTATTCTTATATAACATACACCGATTCAATTCAGTCTGCCATTTTTAAATTTTATTTTAATTTAAACCAGTAATCAATATTAAGTAGTACAAGTTTTCACTTCTGTCTACCGTCCCAAGACGGTAATTTAGGTTTTTTTAAATATTAAACAAAATAAATATTTATTATAGATAAAGAAGACTGTATATTACAAAGAAAGACGGGCGTGCGACGCGTAACTAGAATCGCAACTGACTAGAACAAAATTACACAATATAATTCAAGGTTAAAATAAAGAAATAAAGTAGACAACATTATGTGGTACATAATATAGATAGATGACAAACAGCATTACATAAAATACAAAAAATATTTAATATTTTATTATTCTTACTAAGGAATTCAAATTTTGAGGAATTTCACCAATCGTTCAATTGATTGATTTTTATTTTGTACTTTAAAAAAATCTTATAACCTTTTTATCTTTTTAACATTTTAATTTTTTTTTTTTGAGGTGAACTACAATTTGATCTTTAATCAGTTCGATAACTAAGTATACGATTACCTTTATGACTCATTCTTATTCGTATTTTATATTTTTCCAAATTTTCTATTGGCACATAATCACCAAATGTTATTATTGGATGACGAACACAATATTTGTACGATTCGCTAACCACATTCATTGAAATTTTTGAAATACACTATTGAAACAAATCTAAAAATAATAGTTAGCATTTTACACTCATACACTCCAGTAGCTAGAGGCAGTACCTAATTTTGGAATAACTTAATGGACATTTGGGAAGTACCAAACTAATACATAGGAATCCTAAAGCATTTTAAAAGTATAAGTCCCACACAATAGTCTATGAGGGATACAACCAAGAAATATTTTCTTAGTATTAAAACTCACGTTTTTAAATATAACATGATTTTTTTTCTTATATATAAAATAAACTATTCTTGTGTATACTTTCCTATTATCATGTTTTCCTTAAGCTTTTAATAATACTTTCTTCATTAAAAATAATGTTCATATATTTTTTTTAAATAATCCTTTCAAAAAAGTAACTCTTAATTTTTTACTAGTGGCCCAATAACTTTTGAGTGCTCTTTCTAATTTTTAAAAATTTATTTTCAATGAGAATATCTCGAAACTTCTTCTAGTGTATACTATCTTTGAAAAATAAAATTTAATACCAATGTCCTTTTTCAAAAACTGTTTGTAAATATTCATTATATACGTTTTTTATCCTTATTATATAAATCACTCCATCCTTGCCACATATAATTCTTAATACTCGACCTAATCGACAATCGAAAGAACTGAGATTTTCTTCTTTTTTATAAAGACAATAGTGGGACGGTGTGGCCGAGTCGGTAACGCGGCAGTGCTTGACACGCACTGCCTCGGGTTCGAAACTCGGTCACGGGCGGCTTCATTTGCCGAACGAGATATCAGTTCGGTAATTGGAGTCGCCATCCCACTCTCCGGTGACGGACTAACCACCCGTACCGAAGTATACATGGTTAAGAAAACCTCCTCCTAAGGGAAGGTCGCTATGGGCTTAATGATAAAAAATCAAAAAAAAAAAAAAATTAAGACAATAGTAATTTCTGACAGTTTAGGTCTTTTCTCTTTTGTGCATTTGTAATTAGTTTGATGTTGTGAAAGAGTAAAAAAAAATTATACATAACTTTTTTTTAGAACACTGATCCTAATGAAATTTTAATACACTATCCTAAATAAAATATTCCTTCATCGTGTATGCTCTTACCCAATGAAGATAACTCAATGAAAAAAATCTAAGTATAAAATGGTTTGAAAGTGACCATTCACACATATTAAAACTATTTTTTTCAACGCAATTTTTGGATATGTTCCAAAACGTCTGTGTTCTTTAAACTTACATGGAATTAATGTATTTGAAATTTACTATAATATAAAAATAAAATTATCCCGGTGACTATTTCAATGTAAGAAATAAGAGATCAAAGTAAAAGATTCACGATTTTTTTTAATAAAAATACTTTATTTTAGGTATATATTTTTAAAATTAAGCTAATAACTACTAATATCGCTTACATTTTTCAACAATGTCATATGTGCAAAACTTAATACATTTCTTAATTAAAAATGCATTGAAATGAAATAATCCAATGTGATTTCAAGCAGTTAAATATTTTAATGTAAGGTATAATGATTTTTTTTTAATTTTTAAGACATTTTGATGTAAATATAATTCAAATACGTTATATTTTAAGATATGACATTTTTGAAATAAGTTAGTATTATTATCACATATTATGATAAATAATGTTTTTTACATATTAAACAATATAAAAATGTTAAGTCTACATGTTTTCATAATAAAAAATAAATACAAACATTTCTATAAAACAACTACATAACTAATGTAAAAATTGTTATATGTAGAAGATAACAGTGAACTTCTGTTATCAGTAATAAATCCAGGAAGTAAGACTAAAAAAGCAAAGCCCTTCCTATTGACTATGCAAAACTAACATTTTAAATAAAAATAGGGCAGTAAATTTTTTCTTGAATAGGCCTCTCTTTTGACATATATTTTAATGTGATCTGTCAAAATAGTGTTAACTTTATTTAAAAAAATTTACAGAAATACACATTTTTCTCCTGCCTAAAAAGTGTTCTTATACTATATAAAATTAAGTATAGTTTTCCAAATATTTTTGGCAGCGAAGCTCTTTTTATTCCATCTCCTAGTTGCGCCTATTATTATAATCAAGTATAAAGAACGATAGTTGAGCTTTTTTTCGTACAATTTTTACATATATATTTTTACATATAGAATTGATAAAAAACTTAACTAAATTTAACCTACATAAAATATAGTAAATAATAGCTTTACAAATTGAAAGAAATTTATATTTTCTATTTAAATATCATACATCAATTAAAAGAAAGAAACATTATTTCCCATGAGATTATTGACAGTTTTGTAAACTCGTAATAATTCAGATCATATATTTAAAAATCATTGACACTGGTAACCAGACTAACCATAATAGAAATATTATTGTTAATGTTTTAACTACTATATGAGCTGCATGTAATCTGTAAAAAAAATGAAATTGTTAGAACGTCAGAAGAAATTTAAAAGACCTAAGTAAAATATCGCTACCATAAAAAAAGTGTTAAGTAAAAAAAAAACAGAACAACTCTGTCACTAATTATGATAACGCTAGTAAATTCGAGATAGGCCCCGGGCCGTTTAATTCCCTTTATCCGAACCTGTTTTCAAGCAAAATTTTGTTGCCAATTAGTATCATTTTTTGTAGAGTCCATAATACGGACTCAATATTATTTCTTTCTCGTTGATCTTTCAACAAAAATTATGACTTATTTTAAATGTAAATCAAATACGATTCTTAAAGAGTGTTTAAATATATGTATGCAATTTTAATCGGAACCTTAAAAATATACCTATACACTGTATCGTAAGTTAAAATAGATTTAGTATTTTTCAAATTTTTGATTCGATATTTACCTTTCCCATTTTTTTCGAGCATTTGGTAACGTGTGTATATCATCTTTCACTAGATAAACTCTCAGACCAAGGCAGTGCGCTTGACTGAAATATTCCCATGATATTTGCCTAACATCGAAATTGAATAATTCGCGATCTTGTGAATCAAGTGTATCCCATAGCCTTAGAATTCGATCGTTTACGAAAGTCCATTCTTTGTTGGCAAAATAGGCCAAAGTTTCACGTACTTTGTCTAGCTTTTTGTAAATATTTAACAAGCTAAAAAATAAAATTCAGATTTTTACTTCATACATTTTTATAATTACAGAGTGATTTTTATATAATAACCCACTCAATTACATACAGAATAAAAATAATTTAAACATTTTTTTTGGTTATCTTTAGTTACACATTATTCTTGAATTATTAACTAGAAAGACTTTATAAGTTCACCGTTCATGCCTTGTAAGAGTGTAAACTTTGTTTTTTTAAATAATAACACATATTTTGAATTTAATCAAATGTTTCAGTTTTTAACTTAATAGTAAGTGGCATTTGAATTTTTAATATTAAGTTATTCGTTTATTAGATATAAAATTTTAATGTTTCAAATTTTTGAGTTAATACATGTATACACAAGGTGTTCCAAATACTTGTAGTCAATTGGTTTTTTTTTTTTTTTTGACGTCGCTATCACAGCTATGAAATGTTTATTGTCAAATATGACTATCAATAGAATGCTTTCTGTATTGCCCAGTGGTGTATTTATAAATTTAAAACAAAATGCCTTACTACCATAAATAATAAATGCTTTATATCTGCGAATATCGACGTCAAAAACGACCAATAGTCGCAAAAGAAAAATGACAGTAACTTCAATACAGTTTAAATGTTTATTTTTGCTTTCATTTTATAATTTGTATACAAGAATAATTTTACTTTTAAGATTTGTAATTCTAGTTTTAGTTCCTAAAATTTTGTATGTTAATTTTTCATTAATGCAAAAAAAAGATATAAATTTCAATGAAATCTTTACATTTTTGAAGTATAAATAATTTATTATGCAAAATCTTTAAACTCTTTTTTTTATAACTTAATAGTTTTTGATTAAAAATCACAGAATTAAACGCGAATTTTTTTACTTACATTGGCTTTTGACCAGACATAACAGCTAATGTATCAAGTATGTATCCAGGTATGATATGACAAAATAGATTCAATATAGCGTACAAATATGGGTTGTTTGTTGGCCAAAAAGAATAATACCAAATGGCACGAATCGTTGGCCAGTATATCCCATGTTGTTTATTCATTTTTATGAAATCATACCATTTGATAGGTACTTGTCTTGAGCTAGAACACGTATAGATTGGTATTTCATCAGGCCTGTAAAAAATAAACTAAATATTAATAAAGTATTAGATTTATTTAAATAAATAAAAATAAAGGAGGAAAAATAATTTTAAATATAATTTAATTGTAAAATAAATATAAATATGAGTTTTAAAAATCTTACTTGGTAGTTGCAACTTCTTTTGATGAACATATGAGCGCATTAACAACTATATCTACTGGAATAATATCTGTGACAGTTTCAGAATGTCCAAAATATGTGTGCAATACACCAGTTCCAGCTCCCACAACGAGCCCTGTCGGTCCATAAACATTATCGATCCAGCCTCTTACTGGTTCCCGGTATGTCGCAATAACTATAATAAAATAATTTTTATCAAAAAATAAAACAAAATGTACAAGAACTTACCAACTGAGGGTCGAAAAACAAACATTGGTAAACCTTGCCCTTCGTTTCGAATCACATCTTCAGCCAAAGATTTTGTAAATGTATATGTATTTGGATAATTTCCAATTATTCTGTAGAAAATATTAAATTAACCTAAACTCTTTAGATAAATTAACCATTTGTAAATACAAAAAAAAACAATACTATTTTTTAACTTTATCAAATCAAAACTATGACTTTAATAGCAATTCAATAAATATGTTTAACTATTGCTTGTTTTTAAATAGAATAAACAGGAAATATTCATAAATTTATTTATTAATGAAAAACACCTATGGATGTAGTTATTGCTTTAATTATAATTAAAGCAATAATAATAATAACAATATAATTATTATTATAATGTTAATAGCTAATAATATAAAAGATAATGTAAATCGTTAAATCTTACGTATTAGTCATATCTTGAAGAGTTTGATCATCTTTCGTCGAAATCAATTCTAAAATATCTTTATAGTTCACAGAGCTATCATAAAATTTTTCTTCGACATACAATCGAGTACAATTCGAAAACGCAGTTGATATATGAGCTAAAACCTAAAAATTTATTTATATTTTAATATTATCTGTTTTATTTGATTACTCCGTGGAAAACGATTCAAATGTCATAACCGCCACCATAATCATTTTATAATATAAAATTTTTTTTAACATAGATCTTTGATTTTTTCAAACAATTCTTTACCTTTAAATTAGTAATTTTTCNTCTTTGATTTTTTCAAAAAATTCTTTACCTTTAAATTAGTAATTTTTCTACATAAGCTTATCATTTCTCTAATGCCCGAAACATTGATGTTCATTGCAGTTCTAATGTGTTCATCAAACCTAACGGTAGCGGCACCATGAAAAACAATATTTACTTCGTTTATCAACGTATTTCTGCTGCTGACACTTAGTCCAAGTCCTGGTAAACCACAGTCACCAGCTATTGCAGATATTTTGTGGTAATATTTGGGAACTTCGTGTTTTAACCGTTTGAATAACTATAATTTAAAAGAACCATTAAGGTTAGAATTTAAAAAAATGAACCAAATAAAGAAAAATANATTAGAATTAAAAAAAATGAACGAAATAAAGAAAAATAATACCAAAAAAATGTATTAATATGATATTATAAATACAAACACACCAAACATAAATTGAATAATCAGTAGATAAAGGTTTCAACTAACCTATTTTTAAAAATGCATATTATTTCATTATTATCAAATTTTGATCAATTAAGAATTTGGAAACTTATCGCTAACTTTGTTAACAGACTTTAACGCTGACATAAAACGTTAACGAATTATTTTTAAAAGAGCTATAGACCAATTGCTTATCCAGGAAAAAGACTGTAAACTGCCCATCACAAATGATTAAAGGTGTTGGAATAATTATTGTTTCTAATTGTTGAGATAATTACTAATTAATGAAAATTAGATAATAATGTAAATAATTACTCATAAAAAAAGAAAATATTTCAATAAAAACCTCATTTAAAACTTTTATGAACTTTAAAAAAAGAGGTACTTGCATAATTTGAAATTTATATCTCAAATTTAAACCACTATACATGGTGTTCAAAGTTGATTTTAACGATCAAATTTTTAAGAATTAAAGCTGAAATACTCCCTATAACCTTTTTCTGTTTAAACCTATAGTAAATATTTTTTTAAGACATTATATAAGGTTTTGAAAAATGTAATTTTTATGTTTCTAGCATAACTAAATACTGAAATAATTGCTATTAACAGTGAAATAATGTAAATTTTGATACCATCACAATGTTTGTAAAAAGATTATCTTTAATTCTAATATTAAAGATATTTTAAAATAAATATGTTCTTGACGCTAACCAAAAAGGTTTGACTATGACGTAGAAGAATAAATTGACTCCGCCTTGTTCTTTCTACCATCAGGTTTCACAGCAGAACTATGTTAATTATTAAACTCATTATTATTTAAATTATCGATTACATTTATAATTTTTTCATCATTAACATATTTGATTAAATGATAAAGTAGTGCAATCAACGATTATGGTAATACTTCTCTATTACATAATTTTCGCAAAAATCACTGATTGTTTTAATTAAGAACAAAAAAATAACACAATCAAACAATGGGGGTTTTCATTTAGTATAGTAAAAAAAATATTTAATAATTCATGAATAATAACGCCAGATCGAACTTCTTTAACAAAGCAATTATGTATTCATTTTATGAAAACCATATTATACACAATAATGTTTATCTCTTAATGTTATGGTAATTGTGTATATAATGACAAAGTTTTGAGTAATTTGTATTTTTTCAATCGTTAGATTTCATAGTACTATCTAAGTACACTGACCTAATATTTGCACGGCTAAATAGAAAGTGTCACAAAAATGGTCAACAAATACAGGTGAACCAAGAGAATGATTCAAGGCCGCACACTGCAACAACACTACATTGAGCAACAAAATAATCTCGACCAAACAAATAAGGTTCTCAAGTATGATCACGTTTAAAAAATAGTTATGAAACAGTGCAATAACTAACAAAAAAAAATTATTAGTTTATTTTAAATAATCGAATATTTAACAAATAAGTAAAAATATTAATGTAACAAATTTATTCATCAAAAACGTTTACGACATTACTAAAATCAAAATTTCATCTTTGTACGATATTTAATAACAGTATATTATTTGCGATATTTAATATCATATAACATACGTCTGAAATTAAAGAACCTAAATTATAATATGTTAGGTATCGTTTTAACATTTAAGATTTAAAATAATTTAATAATTTATCTTTAAGATAAGAGTGGCTACGTGAATTTGGAGGGTCACCCTTTAAACAATGTTCATGAGCAAAAAAAAAATAATCTATTTTTCCCAACATTATTAATTTTTATCCAACTTCTAGTATACATTTTAATACTTCATTTTATTGCTCGACCAATACAAAATATCGTATTCAAATCAAAGTTATCAAGTATTGTTAATATTTTAAATGTAAATTTTAATAAAACCTTTTATTTGTGTGGCTAATATTAATATATCTAATGAAAAAATTGCAATATTATAAATTTAAAAAATATTGATCGCCCGTACGTTGACAATATTTGTAGATTTCGCTCCCTAATATTAAGAGTCATCCTTAAGAAAAGGCTATTTCTCTAACGACCATACCCTAAAAACAGTCGTATATTAGATTATATCATACTACTTTAACAAAATTCAGATACATAATTAATAAACGTAGAAAAAATGTTTAATCTATAGTAATGGGCCACTAGTAGTATGATTTACAATATACTTAATAATAAGTGAAAATATCAAATATAATAAGTAGCTAAAATCTTAACTTTAGAAATAATGAACATTTGTTTCACCTTGTCGTAGAATTTGTTTAAATTACTTTAATTATTGTACAATTAAATTATTTAAGTAATAATCGTTACTTTTTAAAGTACCTAATAAAATATTCTTCAATTAAATCGTATAAATCATTAATAAACTTTATTGAATTACGTAAGTTTGATGATTTGAAAATATTTGTATCGTTTTTACACTATGTAACATGTACAAAATATTACTTGAATCACAAATATTTATGTAGGCTAAATATGTATAGGCTACATGAATATTAAAGTCGGCCTTGAGTAGTTGATTGAATCAACTATTTGTGTTTGCGGTCATAATTAATAAGTGTAATCATAATCTCGCTTAGTCTTTACGCGAATATGTTATTAACACATACATGTATTTTTCTGAATCAACTGACTAGTGTATAACTTTATAATTAGTACAACTAAATCAATCTATCATTCCACGTAAACCTTTTTATTTCATTTATTTACCACGAGAAAAAACACCAACTATAAGTTTTATTATGCAAATTAAAAAGTATACATAACTTAAAAAACATAAATAATATAACTGATAGAATAAATAAATAAATGTATACAATAAACGGATTTCGTCGTATTTTTTTATATTTTCTTGTATAATCGATCATCAATTAATGATGTAATGATAACTTTTTAAAACTATTAGAACAAGGATAAACTTAGAAAACTTTGACTTGCTTACAGCGTAGACAAGTAAGTAAATCGATAAATTAAACGGATTTCGTCGTATTTTTTTGTCGTATAGATCATTAATTGATGATGTTTCATAAAATAAAATAATTCTTTAATTTAAAAATATTCTAAATTTAAATAATTATAAATTGATTTAATAGAAATAATTACCCTATCTTCAAATATGTCTTCAAGCCTTTGATCGACGTTTTTGTTTTTCTTAGATCTGATCAACAAATATATATGTTTGATATGCGGACACGATCTGAGTAACTTTTCTGTCAGAACCTTGCCCATAAATCCTGTACCACCAGTAATTAGAACTACTGCATCCCGGAAAAACTCTTGTACGGGTGTTCCTACTTCACTTTCGCTAATTTCTCTAGGTTCGTTGAAATCGCGTTCTCCTAACAACTGTAATGGATCCAAATAGTACTTAGAATTTATTATGTCTTTGATTGGTACCAATGGTGCGCTTTCTTGTTTTCTTTCGATATATTTTCGATGTAAATCAAGAGCCATTGTAAAGTCTATTAAAGATTCCAAATACTGAAACTATGAAAATATTGAATAAGTATAATTTATTAATCAATTAACGTTATCCGATGAACCCTTTAATTATTTAAAACTAATTTCAGTTTAATTAATAAAAAATACTAATAATTATTTTTGTATATTATCAAGTGAAATATATTTTTAATTTTAAATCAATAATTTGTAATTTTTATTTATAATAGCCACGAAAGATCAATTTTTATTGATGATGAGAATCCAATAAACCTGCAATGTATATTCTAAAATAGTAATAACATCCAAGTACTGGTTCATAAGTTATTATCAACCAGTCATTTTCTTAGTTAAATTATTCCCTGTAGTGTAAGTTAATTAAATAAATATGTTTTCGTTAAAAATATTGATATTGTTAATAAAAATAAAAATATAATAATTGATATTAATAGGGTAAATAAAAAAATACAAAATACAAAATTTTTGAACATAATTATTATTTTGTAATTAATTATGATATTATACTTTATATTATCAAAATTAAAAACGTATTTTTTTGTGATCCTTCATTTATTTTTTAGTCCTTCATAATTTAAAATTTAAAATTAAAAACTCATTAAATTAGAAACATTTATCCCAAATGTTGGCCCTAAAACACAAGCTCGAATGGTACAGGATTGAATTTAATCATATTTTAACTCAAGCCTACGCTGGCCAGATTTTTGAGGTTATCAAAGAACAATGGAGGCTAATAATGACGGGAGGTATTTGGATGTAAATTATTCTTCTTTTCCATAATTATGAAGTGATTAAAAATTAAATAATCTCACATAAATTTTAATTGGTATTTTGAAAAATTCCAGAGGAGACCACATTTGTTTTTGCTTAACAGCAACCAAACAGGTCAATTTAACTTAGAATTAAAGCAAAGCACCTCCTAAATTAGCAATAATAGATTTGCTAATTAGACAAGAATTGATTGTTAATTGTTAATGAGAATGGTCTTAATAGGATTTTTAACATCTCTGTGATAGAAATATTAGAAGAAAGATCTTTCTCATGCATATTAAATTTAGCTTTATTGATTATCCTTTTCAATTAATGCAGCTTAAAAATAAAAAACTACACAACCTGATAATATAAATTTCTTTGTACCTAACCCAACTGAAAAAACCTAAATCTATTATTGCAGTGCAATATTTATGGAAAAACATTTAGTACATTTGTACATGCGTCAAGACAAATATTATTGTATATTATAATAATTATTCAGAATAAATAAAATGTTGGCAAAATAATAAAAACGGGTAAAAATTTCTAAAAAAAATAAATATTGCAGCAAACATAAGTTTTGACGACAATATTCACCAATTTTCTAAACTAAAAGTTAATAAATGTTGTCAATACATCCATATATTTGGTAATTTTTTTTTTTTTAACTACTATTATTATTATTAAATAATAAAAAAATTGTTATTTATTTATTCATGAGTTTAGTTTAAATTTTAGTAGGTTACGGAAGGTACACCTTCCGGATCTTATTTTTACTTATTACATTAATAAATGTTAATGGCATTACATAAGTATTTCTTATGTGACGAGAAGTAAGTAGGTTAATTTTTGTATAACAATCCTTAAAAAAATTAAGATTTTACATATACATTTTAATATACAGAGTGATTGATTTATCAATAACCATCAAATATCTTCTAAAAACATAATAAATTTGAAAATTTTGGCTTATTTAAATAATATTTATTTCCTCTAGGATAGCAAATTAATTTTTTAAATAGTAACATACATATTTTCTAACTTTTAATCTATTAAAATATTTATAAAGGATACAGTTAAAATATTTTGAAAATCGATAAATTATTAATTTAGGATATATTTAGTGATCAAATGATAAATCAATGTTGATATAGATACAATATATCATCAAAGTATTGAGAATAAGTGTTACTTTCTTTTTTGTTGTGTACTAATTAATGATTTCAAAGGTAGCAATGACAATTTTTTTTAGGGACCTTAGCTTTAAATTGTACTGAACCCAGGAATTGGTAAATTAGTCTCTGTATTATTAGAATAGCGTCGGATAGGACAATTTATTAAAAACTCTTTTTATTTTGTAATCACTATTTTTTAGATAACTTTTTCCATAAATAAAAATTCAATTTACCCTGGACTTAACGAAATCTAAGGTCATTACTGCATTAGGGTATCATAAAACCAACCCTATCGACACACAATTATTTTTGTAATATAATTCTCAAAATTTATTAATATTTAAGTTAAAAGATTACAAATAAAATATACTTACAAAAAAAAAATTTAATTTAAAACTCAATTATTAGTATTATTAATAGAAAAATGGTTTAGGAAAATAATGTAATACATTTTTATTTTTATGTCTGTTTAAAGTTTAGACTTACCTTATTAAAAAATGATTAAACACTTCAAAATTCACTTTTTAATTTAAAGAACGTATAACAAACAAGAATCAAGAACAAACGCACTGATGCAGGGCAACAACAATAATGATACGTGTAGTAATGCTAAATGTAAAAGGTGCAAAATCCTTGAGATTTGAACCTTCAGTAGGTTTGAATCATAATCTTCGACTTAAATGTAGTTTTCTTATGTCCTCCTCTTGATTTAACAGCGCATAACAAGTCAGTGTTTTGAATACATTATTGAAAGATTTTCATAGAGCTCATCACATCATTTTTTAGAAAGTGATAAGAAAAGTTGCTCTGCGGTACGAGGCGATTCCTCCACTGTCATTGCCCAACAAAAACATTGTTTTCTACGATATCTTACATCAAAAAATAGTGAAATGATATCTCATATTCTGATAAAAAAGTGTGATTACATATTATGCAAAAAGTCAGTAATGTGCAATAAAGTTAACAGAATCACATTGAACTCGATTTAAATATAACTTAAACGTACATTAAAAGTTTCAAATTCATTTTTCCATAAGTTGTAATTTTACATTTATCCCCTGTTGCCCGAACATCATAGAAGTTTACGAATAAAAGTATTTTAATACTCCTTTGCATTTTTACGGTATTCTGAATACTCAAAATAATATATATTCTTAATACTTTTATTTGTAAAATCAATTAATAATTTTATTCGTTAGAAAAGATTTTTACTACTTTTAATTTTAATGCAATATGTATTTTAAAGGAAGAGACAGCCCTTTAAAAAAAAATGTTCTAGCTACCAATGGTATAATGATAATATAAATAATAATTTTATATAACAAATATATAGTGTTCCGTAAGTTAGAAAACGAGTTTTTATTGTTCTTATTGTACTTTTTGAACATTTTGTACATTAAATTAAATTAAATATTAAATTAAAAATATATTATTAAAAATAACAGCTCACCACTAATTTGAAAAAACCTAAGCTACGCACAAATAATTAATTTTAAGAACCTCCAAAAGAACCTGTTTTGGTAGGGGTCCGGTTCTTTAAAACAAATATAGAGGTTCCAGTTAGGATTTTAGTTCTTTATTTTTTCGTCAGAACTAGTTTTCAACTGGTTCTCAAAAATTAAAACCCCTGCTAATAAATCATGTAATTTATATATATATATATATATATATAACTTATATCTATAGGAAGGACTGAAGGAAAGGTGGGGTTATATTGTTCTTACTTGTTACTCAAAACGCTCTTCTTCCAGTCTATATTTAAAAAATTTAATCGCTTCTGAAGTACAAAATTCATTAATAACTTTAATGTTTTTAGTTAGATCATTTTTTATTTTATTACTAAGTTAAATATTAATGTTGTCGTTTAAAAACGGTAGCACAATGGGACTGCGGCACAGTATGGACGTAGGATAGTTGGGACAAGTATTGATGATATCTGACAGTGATTAAAATCACTATCATAAAAAACGCTTCGATACAAATCTGTAGATAGCGTTTAATTTCAAAAAATTGATGGATTATTCCAAAAGCTACATGATCTCCTATTTCCTTAATTATATCCTGATAACAAATTTAATGATTTATAAGTGTAATATATGAATAAATATATAAAGGGAAATAGTTTAATTTAAAAAAAAATGTATGTCGAATGAAAGAAGTATATAAATAGTATTTATCATAACAACATTTTTTTAAAAGTTATAACGCTATAAAGTTAAAAATGTAAAATATAAAATCGAGAATTTTCACATAAAAATGGCATTTGGTAACTATTTTCACCATGAAAACAAAATAAAGTTCAAATTTTTTTTTTTCCATAATAAAGTATATTATATAAGCTTTAATTTAAGATATATATAAAAGTGTCAGTATTTCTAGAAGACTTTCAAAAATTAAGTTGAAAAAATTCTACTTTCTATATGCATTTTTAAGTTTTGAACCTCCCTGTATTAAGGGAAATGGTCCCATTTAAAAAAAAAGTATTTCGAATTGTAGAAGTATATAAATATTATTTCTCATAAAAATATTGTATTGATCCATACATTTTTCAAAAAGTTATAGTATTCCAAAAGCAACATGATCTTCTATTTCCTTATTTATAGCCTTATTACATGTTTTATGATTTATAAGTGTAATATATGAATAAATATTTACTATAGCAATTAAATATAATATTTAAAAATTTAGTTTTGTAATATTTTACAAAAATCGTATTTTTAACTATCAACTTAGGTTTCCGTTTACACTATGAAAACAAATTAAGTCCAATATATTTTTTCTCATATTAAAGTAATATACTTTAATAAAGTTTAAAATGTAAAATCAAGAATTTTAACACAGAAATAGCATATTGTAGTCATTTTCACTTTGAAAATTTGTTTCAATAAAATAAAAATCATATATTTTTACATCAGTTTGAAAGAAATCAAAATATATAAAAAAAAACAAGTTACAGAAATAGTGATATTTAAAAAAATTGTAGTGTTCTTTACCCAAAATATAGATTTAACATAACCAAAGAAGACTTCATTAGTCATAATGAAGGGAATATATACTTTTAGTTTCTCTTTTGTACGTCACTACGATTAATAACACACTATTTTAAATAAATTTTGGTTCTTTATTCAGACTAAGATATACTTTTCTGGGTTGTTTTATCTTAATATTGCATTTAAACAATCATTGTCACCTTTATTTTTATAATAAGGTTGGGTTTAATAAATGTTTCTATGTTAGCCTTAACATAATGACTTTTAAAAAGCTAAAAACTGAATCGTAGTATATTTTAATATCTCTCAGATTTTTGTCCTTCCAATTGAGATTTTGTGCGTTTTCGTATTTTTCTTGTAAAAGCGTTAATATACTTTTATCAGTTTTTTCCCAAATAATTTGTACGTTGTATTCTTTCATTAAATACTAAATTAATTGTTTTTTGTACGTTTTACCCTATAATTTTAATAAGAATATTGTTTTTATTAATCTTCTTGTAGTTTTTGAAGGATAAATCAGTATTCTTCAAAATAATTATTTTAACAGATTTAAATCTGTACATGATTTCTATATATCTAATCATGAAGTTTTTTATAACATTTAAAGTAATATTATATTAATCAATTTACAAATATACGATTTAAATTTTATTTAAATTATTATATTTTTAATATAATTTATTATATAAATTATATTATTTATATTAATAATATTTATATTATATTATTTTTATTTCCTATTATCAATTTTTTTTGGCAGTTTATTTATGATGTACAAATTTTACGATAGATTTTATAATTTACATAAAACACATTTACACACGATTATAAATTTGAATTGTATAAAATAAAACTACTTAGTTGAATCCAAAAATAAAAAGAAGACTTGCACACTAAAAACTTTTACTGTAAATTGTCATTTATTCGCACAACCTGTAAACTTAAGTTTATTTTATTACTTACCCTTAGCATTCATTTTATAAACTTCCTTGGAGTATATTTTTTTATTTTTTTTTAAAAAGGCAATATGTATTATGAAAAGTTTTATTTACCTATTTTATTTAAATTTATAATACTTAATCTACATATCTAATAATATAAAAATATTCCACAATTTTATATTGACTTATAAAAAAATAACAGTATCACAGTTAGATCAGTGTACAGTGAGGTTCAGCATATTTGGAACAAATATAGATAATATTTTAATCATTAAAATCATTATCATGAAAAACTCTTTGATTCAAATCTAAAGATAGTGTTTAAATTTAAGAAATAAGTGGATTATCCGTAAACAATATCAACTCCTATTTCCTGTATTATATTCTGATAACTAGTTTTTTATTTATAAGTTTAAATTAAATATCATAGTAATCTTTTCTATATACCTCTTTGTGTTTAAAAATATGCTAAAATTAAAATATTCAGATATTAATTCATTTTTTTAATTTTTCAATAACCTAAAAAAATAGATAAAACTAGGCTTGGTCCGACTAGGCTTTAACCTTATTCAATATTTAGCACCCTCTCCCGATAATAATTGTAATATTTTCAAGGCATGGTTCTATAGGAATAAGGTCACAAAATTGTTCAACTTAACTTTTGAAAAGTTCCGGAAAGACTGAAACGTTTATATATATCTTAAATTAAAGCTTATGTAATATACTTTAATTTGAAAAAAAAATTGGACCTCTGGATTTGTCTTCATGGTAAAAATGACTACCGTATTCAAAAAAGCTATTTTTGTGTTAAAATTCTGGGTTTTGTATTTTATTTTATTTTAAAATACCTGACAAGGGGAGTACAGACTTTCATAAATATTATATAAATTAAAAATTGATATAGCATAGAAAGTTAAACTTATTTAAATTTGTTTGCTTTTTTTAAGTCGAGAAAAATAACTGTAATTTGAACTAGCTTAAATTGCCATTTTTTCAACCTACATTAGCGATTATACAATTGCTAAGTCGGTAAAACTTTTGTTTTACACGCTTCGAATACGAGGTTCCAACCCGCGTATGGCAATGGATTTTTTGCATTTTTTCTTAATTCTTTTTAAGTTAGAATAAATTTCAACTGCTTTGATTTTTATCTCATTTAGATTCAATAACTTCAATAAAGATTAAGGATCCCACCACTGCAGTCGCCACTTGCGAGAAGAAATTTTTTATTCATATTAAAATTATTTTACTATATTTTAAGTTTTAGCTTCGATGCAAAGCTGAGAAGATATTTTTTTTTAACTATCATTTATTTTCTCTGCTCTAACTTGATCTACTTTTTTTAATGATACGTCAAATGATTACAATTCGTATCTAGTTGAAGATATTACCCTCAAAAATTGAAAAAAAATTCTAATTTATCAATGAAACAGTTACTTATTCCATATTCTCCATACAGACAATTAAAATCATTAATTTCTAATGTTTTCAAAATATTTATGGACAAATCAAGTTTGATATGATAATTTGATATGATAGGTTTCAAATACAAAATCAAATCATTTTACTTTGTAATTTAATAATTTTTGTACTCTATTTGTGTGTGCTACTACTAGACTATAATATTCCAAATTTGTTGGTAACATAATGCTATATAAATCATTTCTAAAAAAAATGATTGCTAGTTTCTCCTGAATTAACAATGGATTTTTAAAATTATAATTAAATTTTATAATATGCTCAATTGAGTAAATCTTTTTAACAACTTTGTTTTGATTGGTTCATTTAGTTAAAGTAAATCATTAAAATTAATTAATTTCTGAAAATTTTAATTGTAGAATCTTTTTAAACACCAAAAGTTATTAGAAAATGATTACTATTACATCTATTGAAATTATCTATTACGATAAAAATGCAAAAAAATATTGAGCTATTCTGATAAATTTACTATAAATAGTATTTATAAAACTTCCTAACTGCATATTAATCTTAACGATACAATTTTTTTAATTCTCATAAAATTTTCTATTTAATGATGTCAATTTCAAACTTGCCAATTGAGCTAAAAGTTTTGATAAAATAAATTAATTTTTTTACTATAAACATTCACAAAAATCAACTTTAAACGATTAAAAAAATAGGTTAAATATGTCATTTTCCATATTTTTAACATATTAATAATCAAAATCAGTATTAAATCAAAACAATTTTTTTTTGTTCTTCATTATTTTTTTTATATGTAAATACTTATTTTTTAATAATAAGTAATAATATTAAAACTTAGAAGTAATAGAAAAAGTTTAATTGCACATTTGAAAACAACGCGAAAAGTTGATTTAGAAAAGTATATTTTTGTTTCTGATGAAAGTTCCTTGTAGTCAGTGTATTTATTTATAAGTAACAAATTTTTTTATTAAAAAGTATTGCATCAATCCCTTTAAATATTTATACACGTTAAAAGTATATGAATATAAACTCTTTTTTATTTTTATAATATCTCCGTAAAAATTACAATATTATTGAATATCAATTTCATACTAAATTTAATTACTATAATTATTATGTATTCATATATTATAATTATAAATCAGGATAAAATTAAGGGAATAAGAGTTATGGTTGCTTTTGAAATAATCTACCAATCTCTTAAAATTAAACACTATTTACAGATTTGCATCGAAGCGTTTCTAATGATAGTGATTTTAATCACTGTCAGATATCTATACTTGTCCCATCTATGCCTCGTCCACACTGTGATACCGTTTTTCAAAATGATATATCAATTTTAAGCAAAAAAATTGAAAAAATGTCGAAAATTAGTGATTTTAAAATTTGTAATTTTTTAGAGATATCCCCTATTTACGGCGAACGAGGGAATGTTTTTTAATGTTTAATGGTAATGTCTTCGACAATATACCCTTTGTGATCTTTTGACGTATCGTTGAAAGAAATCGATTCGGTGAGAGCTAAGAAAAGTGGTAACAGACACAAAAAAAAACACATCATAGTAAAATTAATATCTTTACATTGAAGCTACATATTACCAAAAAATTATTTTTATAATATGATTATTATTTTAAAAGAAATCGTGTAGCTACTATTAAAAGTATCACACTGTAAACATTAAAAACTCAAATTTTAAAAATATTCCTGAAATTCTGACAACTTTTAACCTATTTCAAATTAAAACTTTTGAAATATACAATTAAAAAATTGTATTGACGTTTGTTTTATGTGAAATCAAAATGTTAAAATAAAAAAATTACATTATTTTCTATTAAATAAATTATTTAACAAGAATTTAATAATCGAGTGAAATTTTAAATCATAGAAATAGTAAAGTTATAATTACTTTTTAAAGAATACCTTATAACGTTTTACAATTTCTCCATAAAAGTTGGAATAAATTATTTAATATAAATATCATACTAAATTTAATTAGTATAGGTATTTATTAATGTATTTTACATATAAATAATTTAACTTGTAATCTGGATAAAATTAAGGAGATAGGATTGATTTGAGGTTACTACTAGAATAATCCAACAATCTCTTCAAAATACTTCAGAGAGACGAAAGTTCGTACAAATTTGTTACAGATGTAATATACCTGTATCAATATTTTCTCTTTGAGTATATACTGAAGCGAAATAGAAATGTTCATATTAAGGATAATAGTGAAATATTAATTTTTACAAATGTACCCATTTTAACTTATTACTTGGTTTCAATTAAATTATCAAAAGGTGTACTGACTACAACTGTATTCAAAGTAACTTAACAACCTTTATTAAAATATATAATCCCTTGCTCTAATTATGATAATAAGTAATCATGCAATTTCAATATTATTCAAATTCATCATCTTATGAAAAGGAATAAATGTAAAAATTGTTAAGTAGCTTTTCATAATTTATTCATTAATTACTTACAATTTATACAATTTATACATCATATCAAAAAAAATTACCAACAGCGATTTTTTTAAATATAAATTAGATATTTTAATAATAAGTATATAAAATAATACTGTATAACCGATAATACCATTATAATACAAAAATAATCATGTAAAATTTGTAATAAGATGTATTTTTTTATTAATGCATATTTAGAGATTAAAAAAAACGATTTTTTACATCTTTATACATATTATAATGTTAAGTATGTAATAAAATATATTTTAGGTATTAACATAATAGTTTAACAAATATATGGATAAATTTATTTTGTAAAAAAAGGCATCAAACAAAAATTTTTAGCATTAAGTAAAAAATAAATTATTTTACATACTTAATGTGTATTTTTCTAATGTATTTACAATTTTATTTATACATATTTTTCAAAAGTAAAAAAGTATAAACACAAGTAAGTAATAAACATTCACACAAATATATCTTAATAAAATAAATCACAAATTTCAGACTAGGATCAAAGACAAAAATTGTCCAATATTCTATGATAAGTTAATTTAAAGAATTACATAATTTTACACATGATGGTAACATTTCATTACAGACATACAAAAATAAATACTCAAATATTATGGTTTCATTATCTTTAGGCTTTACAGTATTTTTAGGTTTTGATAATGTATACAATTTGGGGTTGTTATAATAAATAATAATCTTCACTATGCAATATTAAAATACTATTTTTCAGTTATATCAATTATATTCTTGATTTTTTATCACTAATATACAGTATTTTTGTAATACTCTGAATATTATAACATCATAACTTTTTTTTAAATATTATAAATAATTTTTCAACAGTAAATTACAAATTAAAAAAATTCATATTTGAGATTAATTTAATTGTTATATGGGACCAAAAAATTACTTTACGAATCAATGCATAAAAATTAAACATGAAAAATAAGTTAACATATATTAATATTATTGTTAACAGTCAAATAAAACTAGTGAAAATATATAGTTGAGATATTTAAAACTCGATACTATTTAAATAATGCAGTACTTTAATTTTAAGTTTTATAATGAGTCAATAATAAATTACTTTTTAATACATCATTAGATGGAAGAAAGATCATTAAAAAAGTGATATACATAGTAATATACTTACTCTGTAGTAATATACTACAGATTACAACATAAATTTGTAAATTGTTATAAAAATAATAAAAAATATTTTCAAACATCCACATTGAGTTATATTTGCAGTAGATTTATGACCAGATTCAAAAACACTAATCGTTCTATTTAATAAAGACTGAGGTTCAAAAAAAAGAACATCTGAATAAGCAGCATGAGAAGCATTTACAAATTGTTCGTCGTGTGAAGTCATCAAATCAAACACACACCAGTCTAAATACTGATCAGTCAATTGATGTCCAGTAGGACCAATACTGTCACGACATAAATTTAAAGAATGTTCTAAGTCATTAATGACAGATTTTTCAATGTCAAATTGTTCAGAAGTTGGACAACCAGATGAACATAATTCATTCTTTTCTTGATTAAAAGTTTGAGCTAATTCATTGGGAAGTTTCGCAGAAACTGATAAATACTTACCTACTCTGGTTATAGTAATTATGGTTGAAATGTACGACAACCTTATAATAACAGTTTCACTATTTGGATCATTACTACGCCACGATAAAGAAACAGTAGTTGAGAATGCAGATACTGATTTAGTGCTACCATCTCCAAATGATTCTGGTAATTGAAAATCTCCTTGAGCCTCATATATTTTTTGTGTTGTACAATCTGATATATGAGATTTTAACAATATAGTAAGCTAAAAACAAATTATTTAAATTAATTTCCTAAATTAATATTTTGATGAAATAAATTACTACCTTAGTAGTTGCAGTGGCACTAGTACTATTTAAAATTCCATCATTTGTCACCATAATACTAATGAAAGGATTGTCTATCACTTGCCAAGCACCATGAATACGACAAGTTTGAGACCTACCATCAAATGTCCTTAAATGAGGATCACCAAACAAACCACAAAATTTGTGTTCATGGTGATCATCAAATAACACTGGACAAACTGGCCTATTATAAATACCGGGTATTATGGATTGGGTGTTATCATTAGTACCATTATTTTTTGTTCCATCATCAGTTCCACTGCACTTTTTTTTAAATTCTGCATTTAAAACAGTAACAGCTGAATGGTAACTAATGTCTCCACGACATTTTTTTGATAGCGATTTCATACATTTTATGTATGTTTCTATATCTTTACAATTATAAGCCTTTACATTAGATTGTTCTGTTCCAGAACATTCTTCTTGAGGACAATAACCAGCCAAACAGTAACTCACTAAAAAACAGTTTAAATTTTAATACCAGTAAAAATTTTAAAAAAATTATAATTTACACAAATAAAATTATTTGTTATATCAATTGTTACATTAATTTATATTAATAAAGCCTAAATATTTCTATTCAGTCATAAATAATAGTTTGTAAACTATTATGTTAAATTTTAAGGTATTTACTTTGAAAATAGTAACACTTTATGTATTATACTTCTAATAAAATTTAGGAAGTATGAGATCTAGAAGAAAATAGTTCTAACATCAAATTTTTATAATAGATCCCACTTAAAAATCTACAAATAGTTATAAAAAAAATGTATTTAGTTTAAACATTTTATTTTATGAAAATAATCAATATTTTTACTCTTTTATCACTAAACTTTTCAAAATTGGTGTCCGTTTTATTTTTATTATTATTTTTGTTCATCTTACAAAATAAAAATACTTTCAGGAATATTTTTTTGGCTGTTTAGTTACATATATTTCTTAAGTTATCAACTTTTAAGCATTCAATCAATTTACTTTTTATATCATAAAAGGGTGTCAAGTTTATTTTTTTTAATAGCAACATACATACTTGATTATTTATTAAATATATAATTGTTATATTATAAAAATAACTGGTTGATATTAACTTGTAATACTACTTCAGAGGTAATTACTATTATAAATTGATGGTCAGGTAAAGGTAAAACTATTATTTTCTTTAGATGTTTCTCAGCTGCTATTCCTCCTATCTATACGTATACATATGTTAATAACTTCTGAAGTAATAGTTATAATTAACCTGTCATTTTCTTAATTTCTTAATTTTATAAGTTACCTAAATATGCATGTTATCATTTTAAAAAAAATCATTTTTAATTAATAAAAATTTGTATAAAAAAATAAAACAGACAAAAATAAAATAAAAAAAATTGTTTGTTTAATTCACCAATAAACCTAAATCATATAATTTATATATTTATTATTTATATTTAATAAATATAATCTGGTTTAGTTTAAATTAGCTTTGATTAAGATCTGATAGTGTTTAGAATCACTGTTGTAAAATTTTTTGATGTGTATTTAAAAAAAATCAAAAAATTTTTTACATATTTATCAAAAAATACAAGTTTTTAGAATTTAGTATTTCGTTACTCATATAGAATATTTTTTCATTTTTTAATCATATATAACATTAAATAAACATTAATTTGAAATAATTTAGATTGATGTAAGTATTTTTTTATTATGAAAAAGATAACAAAATTAGCTAATTTTAATAAAAATTGTATGTTTTTTGGTATTAATACCCTATAACTACTAGATATCGAGAATCCGTATAGTAGATTGTAACCAACCAACTTTGATTTAATAAAGGTTTAAAGAACGTAGATTTTCTAGATCATTATCTAAAATTGTAATGTAAAAAAAATTGAATATTGATATGATATGAACTTGATATGATTTTAATCAGCATTATCTTTNTGTAAAAAAAATTGAATATTGATATGATATGAACTTGATATGATTTTAATCAGCATTATCTTTATTAAAGAATGAATTATCAAAAAAAGCTTATGTTTAAAGTATTATCAATAAAAATTTCATTATGATCCATTTTTAAAGTTATTTTAATATTAAGTGAAAACTAAAAATATCAACATTGACTATTTTATGACAACTGTAATTTTTTAAGACATTTCTCTTTATTATCGGGTCTGTTAAACATTTTTCAAAATTATAGTGTTGATAGCTTCAAATAGATATATATCGTAATCTTTTGACGTATTTTTGAACAAAATCTATCTAGTAAAAGTGGAAATATTATCGTATGGAAAATTAAAATTAATAGCTTTAAAGCTATGTATTAATGCTAATAAAATGAAAAAAAAAAAATTTCATAATTATACTAAAATATCACAACAAAATAATGTTATATTTTTAATTATAATAATTAATTATTATAAATTATTAATTAATAATAATTTTATATTATTTTAATGTAAACTTTAAAAAGCTTTTAAATTTTATTTTTTACATGATATTTTTGAATATTAAAAATATGAAATCAGAGTATTTCATTACTAGTACTTGAATCATTTATATATTACTGATATAAAGTGATGTGCTCTATACTAGGCCTGTGTCTACCGTTTTTAAAACCAATTTTTGGCACAGAACCTATAAAATGTTTTAATCTCTAAAAATAACCAAAAAAATTCATTAAAACAATTTCAAGAGAGGTCAGGGCTCAAATTCTCCAAGTCCAAATTATTATACATATTTTAATAATAACTCTGATTCTAAATTTTAATTCTGGCCACACCAGTAATGACATTTCTTTCTATTATTCTAGATAACCTGTTAATACTGTATCTTGTAAAGAACTTCAAATTCTAGTATTTGTTTTCCATTAAGTTTACAATTTAAACTCAATTTCTCATTTAATATTCCCAATTTTTCCCTAACACACACTATCTTAGGATATGGTTATGAATTATGGTATCCAAAGTTACTATTAATTATCCTTATGAAACATGTCTAACAAAAATCCTTTCAATTTCCTTTATATTTTCTAAATATACTATAAATTCCTCATAATTACTCCCTTATACACTGAATATATTATCATATGAATTCCAAAAATTCTTAATAACCTTATTTTTAACAATATTGAACTGCCCTTATTTTTTGTTAAGTTTATTTTGTGTATTTCTTCTCAAAATACTTGATTTTTTGATCTTATTACTTTTATATTTGTTGCAATCAATTAAATATTCCTGTCCCCCGTTTAATGCGAGTTGTTAATGAGAATCCATTAACATTAAAAAAAATATATATTTATACATAAATAAATACAAATGTTTTATTTTAAGATATATTGTTTTATATTTTATGACTGAATAAAAGCACACTGAATAAAAAATGTTTCATAAATTAATATTTAATTTTTTTTATAAATTAAGAAATATTTTTGATGACCCAATAATTAACAATCATTAGTGAAGACTCTAAATCTAGTAAATTATTTTTAATGTAAAACTCAATATTTTTCACTCCTTAAAATATTTATAAAATGAAAATTATTTTATAGAAGAATTACAGAAGCAACTGTAACTCTCAAGGAAAACAAATTAGGGTTTATACCTTTAAATTAATTATAGACTAAGTAATTAATATTTTATAAAAATACATTTTAAGGTAGAGTGGGTTATAAGAGAGCTGCTAAAATTGAATTCATACAAATTTTAGAAATAACCTTTAATGAAACTATTCCCATATACAATAAAACAGGAGTAAATATTTTATAAGACATTTGTTTTTCGAATAAATCAAATTAATCGAAAATTAAAATATATAGTTCAATAATCATTATATTACCTGTAACAGCAAGCCATGTTATCCATACGAGATGAACTTTCTTGTTGACAAACATTATGTACATATCACAATGGAATGGCCAGTAAACTATGTCACCATATTTTCATGTTAAAGACTGTTAAGAAAAACGATTATTTATTAACACTTGTGTTTCGAAATAGTTTGTAACAATCAGGCCTAATTACTAAGCATAATTTCGATCAGAGGCATTAGGTTTCACAATAATTTAGAGTAGAATTACATATCGATATATAAAAAAAAGAAAAATATAATCATATGTTTATTTGTCGGGATGAAGGAAATCAAAGAAACAATTGGATGCCATAAATCGCAACATTTGGCTAAAATTACCATTTACAGCTGCTTTGGCAATTACTGCGGAGACGGAGATCAACACTCGGATGAGCAACAACGACGATTCCGATATCGATTCAACGACGCGCGCAAACAGCACAACTACACGCGACGCACATGATAGTTAAAGTAGTATTACTCGCAGTTCGGCATCAAATCCATACAACTTGTTTGGTTTTCGATATGATGAGCAAATCGAAAATTATAAAATCGTTTTCTAAATAATAGCAATTAAAACAAGGAACTCACACGGGTGTAAACACTACTATCAAACGAAGAGCACAACAGCGGCGGCGATGGTGTAAACAACGAAACGCAATAATATTGCTATCGGCGTTGTGTACGATACGTAGAGGTAGTGTAGTCGGCGGAGAACAAGATACGGCTGGTGAGACGGTGGAAGTGAATGTAGTTGGGCGACCGCCAATCATCGAACGTGACCGGTCATCCCGCACAACAATATTCTAACGGCAGGCTGCTGTGCTGCCATGATCGTTATTAAAGTGGAGGGGGATGACAACCGTGCATCAGCCAGACTTGATGTCGGCTCATAGGATTTCTATCTGCTGAGAAACCGGCGGTATTTCATATTGTCTGTTTTTTTTTTATTATTATTTTTATTGTGTTATACGCGCATATTGTTGGTGTCGGTGGGCATGCATTATTGTGTACCACAGGGGGAAGCTAAAGAACGTACAATATATCGGAAAAACGCCTAAATAACAATGGTGAACAGTGGCCGCCCGAGACGTGTTGTATTCACAGGACCACGACACTGCCAAAGCAAAAACACTAACGCTACACTGAAAAAAAAAAAAAGACATTAAACTATTCAATTTGAATAAAAATATTTCAACACATGAATATAGTGTTTTGAAATATTTTGTTGCTTCCGAATTTTCTTAAGTTACAACATTAATTCACAGCCTCGTCTATACGATTCTCATTTTCTTTACAAATTATTACTGATTATGCTTCGAATGTGCATTGTGACACTGTGTTTCTTTTATGGTTACACCATTACTAAGTGTACCGGTACCGAAATTAAAAAATTAGGAACAATGTCCGGTAATCAACATTTCATTGGCATTTGACACGCGTATCACGTAATTTGCACTTAATCGTATGCTTATGTGCTCAATTTGTTTCAGAGAACCGTAGTGAAATATCGCAATAGTCATAGTTACTACTTATCAAAAACATTATCATTCGATGCAAAATCAACAATTATTTTAAACGTAGTCTAAGACTTCTTAAGAATATTCATTAAAATTTTTTAATTATACATGAAATATATTCTTAATTCGTATACATACGAATGAAAATTCCAATATAAATTATAGCTATTGGTGTTTGACAAGAGCACTCAAGGAGAGGGCAAGGGGAAACATACACAGTAGAATATTAGTATTGTAACGAAAATGATACTTTTCTAAATAAATATTTGTATTTTATTAAGTATTTATACATTTTTTCATTAAAATTAACACCAGCATCAGTATTTGATAAAAACTATTAGAATGTAAGTCGCAACTAGTACAGCAATACTATATTATAATAGTCTAATAATAGCATTTAAAAATGAGTTAAATGTAATTAAAGATAAATTTTTAAATAAAAGCTTGGATAAATGTGATATATCACTTTTTTTTTTACCAAGTTGCGATTCTATTTTTATTGTGTTATTACTTTTAGCTTCGATGCGAAGCTGAGAAGGTATTGGTTTTACTAAGATGTGTTTTTTTTTTTTTTTTTTTTTTTTTTTTTTTTTTTNTATTATTCTATTATATATAATGTTTTAATTTTATTATTATTATGTTTTGAATATTTTACATAATTGATATACATTTAACTTTATTAAAATAATGACCCGATAAAAAATACTTTTTTTTATCGTCTGGATTAATTATTGGATATACTCAAAAATTTACATACTTATATTAAATTAAAGCTCAGCTTTTTTTTAAAAATTAACATTTTTATTTTAATTAATTTAGAATTAGGCTGGATAATAGTATAAAAAAAATTCAATATTTTTACTACTACCGTTAGTTCATAAATCATAAGTTTTTAATACATAATTTTTTTTTTAAAATACTTAATATTATTAAAACAAATTTAAATGTTGCATCTTCTATTTACAAACAGAGCCAAGAAAAAGTTAATTAAATTATAAAAATTGACCATTTTGGTTAAAGATAACAGAGAACTATTTATAACAATAATTAAAATCATTATATTACAGAGAGTTTATTTTAATTAAAATTTAGTATTGAAGTTAAAAGATAATTATAATAATAATAAAATTGTCTACTATACTGTACCAGATTTGTTGATTTTTCATGAAAATTGTATGTCTTATATAGATTGCTATTTAACTATGATTTAATTAATATAAATTACAATTCAATTACAAATAGAATGTAGAATGAAAATTTTAAACTGCCATACAAAAATAACAACAATTTTTGTTAAAAATAAAACAAAATAAAATAACAGCAGAAATGTATTAAAAGTGGTAGTAAAATAATGTGTACCAAATATTAACTAAGCCGACCCATTGTTCAGCATACATTTGATAAATTCAATCTATTTACAATACTAATAGGCAATAAATAACAAATAGAAAAATAAGATAGCCAAAATGGTCTATTAATAGCAATAATTTTAGTTTACTATTCACCATTTTAGCGACAAATTTAATCAATCGTTTCCAGCAAACAGAAAAATATTAAAAAACGGCGACAAATTCATTGATTATTTTGAATTCGATAAACAGATATTTGCGCAAATGAATATTAAAATCAATGTAGTATGAGTCGGTAGTAAGAGCGACAAATTCAATTAAAATTTAAGTTTATGAGCAAATTGGCAACGTGTCATTGATAAGCGTTAAAAACGTTTTTAATGCTGTGACCCTTTTAATTATACAGACTATCAACAAATGTTGCCAGTTTGCTTATGTACTTATTCCTATACCACGGGCTACGAGAGAATGCAACTGAATGAATATTGGATAAGATAGGAGTCTTCTACCTTAAAAGACCATTTGAATGAACATGGTGGCCAAATAGCCACCAAGTTACCAAACTGTACTGTACAACTATGTCAATTTAAGTTTGTTCACCCAATTTTTTGAATTTGTCGCTTCTACTATCTGACTCGATTGACTTCAGAATTAATTTTCTTCATTTTTTTAGTAAACTAATAAAAAATTGTATTCTAACTTTATGAGCAAGTGGCGCGAAAGGGAATTTCAACCAAAATTGAGAATAACTACTTCATTTATTTAATAAAGTATTATTTTGACTATTCTGAAATTTCTTTTTTCTAAAACATGATCAAAAAAAAATGTTGGTTTTTGCATACATTTTGGTAACAAAGCTGTTGAGTATACTATGCTAACAAATAAAGTATTTATTCAGCTGATTAAACATTGTTTTATTGACAAATTTCCTGAGACAGTAATACTCAGCGTTAAAACTGATTATGCATGTATCGATTTCAATTGTTTTTTAAAAGCATGAAATTACTTATCAGCTAATTAGTCATAGACAATACTGATTAAAAAAGATACATAGCAAAAATGATATCAGTATAAATGTTAATTACACAGTAACATACCAAGTAAAAAAGTATAAATGCATATTGTATTACTATGATGAGCATGCAATAAAAGTTAATGCGCTACACTTATTTTAGAAAAAAAAGAAAATAATCATACTAAAATGTAAGAAGAGTACGTATACAAAAATTGTTAATTATTATTAATACTGAAATATTAAAGGCTGTTAAATATAAAAATACTGTATTTCTGTCATAATAACACCTAAGATTTGCAAGTACCTACTTATAAAATAACGGAAAGTAATACAATATTTCAAAAATGATCATATTTTTTTGAAAATATAAGTACTATTAGTAAATTAAATATAATTACACAAGGCTGTAGCTGGAACCAATATTTTAACAAAATCTTATATTTTCATAAAACGGTGCGCAGCTCACACAAAACTAATAGAAAATTCTTATCAATTAATTTTGGCTAATTTTTAAATCGACTGATATTTTCATTTCGCTTTAAATCGATTCCCTTTGAAAATTGCCCATCTCTAATTGGAATATTTTGTACTCATGTATTACTACACAATAAAAGTTAAATGTTTATATAACATCATTAACTCAAAACGGGTGTTATTCGATAAGTTATCGTCGTATCACGTTTTCAATAAAATTGTTAGTGATATAGATATTTATATACTCATATATTAGTAGTATACTATAAATGACACGTAATAAACATCAACACTTTAGTAAAATTCGTATTTGTACAAAAAAGTTCTGTAAATTTAATTTTTCGACTTAAAAAACATTTTAAGAGTGGGGGAGTTGAATTCCACCCCCACAATGGGATCTTGTAATAACACATTCATTGGATATGAAATATTGAATAAATTATGCGTATATTTTCAGCAAATCTGCGTATTTATTTTTGTACAATAGGACAGTGAAACATTTCTAATACTCGACGTAATTACAGTGGTTAAAATAAAATAATCTAACAAGCAATAAGAAATATTATATCTCTTCATAATCTCGAAATAGTCTTTGCAAAGATGATTTTTATGACGACCATAAACATCGTTTTTATTTGATGCACAACTCACTATAATATACAATAGTAATTTACATAAAACGTTTTGATAAAAACTGGCTTCAGAGTTTAATAAATTACTGTAATTTACTATACAAACGTCTTTATTTTTAATGAATCAGAAACGTTTAACCTACTACGAGATCTACCTACGTTTTTTCCACAAATTGTGAATAATTTATATAAATAAATAGAAATTGCAGGTCGAGTGTAACTTAAATTCTTGTATTATTATGCATCGTGATAATAATATGTAAATGTTTTGGGTCATTATAGCTCTCAAAGTCGTACCAAAATGTTTAATTTAATATTTATATTCAAATGATTAAATACATTTTTTATGGATTACTATGATTATCATAATGGTAATAGCCTGTACGTTTGACGCCTGCGTATGTAAGATTTGTGTGCGATTACATTGATAACGTACGAGATACGTTGCGAGGCGGATATTAGCCGAGTCGGTGTATTAATTTAATAATAATAAATTTAAACTTTGGAAAAGATTGTGAAAAATTTCTCCGTTTCGTACAAAAACTGGTAATCCGAATATTATATTCGGTTTCCCCGATGGAAAGGATTATTGTGCACGATTGTTGTGTAGGTAGATGATATTTTTTTCCGTTTCTGAGCATCGCGGAGAATCAACAATAATTATAATGAAGTGTCACGGAGATAAATAATACCGCCACCACGAGTGTGTGTGGGATTGGTAAATTGTATATATATATAAAAAAAAACGAACATAATTGGAAAAGGGGAAAGAAAAATAATAATAATAAATGTAATATTTTACGCGTTAATAAATAATTCTTTGTGAAGGTTGTCTAGATCCAGTAGGCGCGTTTATTCTTGCGCTGCACAATAAAAGGTGTGAACTGGTTTTGTTCCATGCCCAACACTGTATTGGTACTCAAACTCGGTTCAAACACATTGCATTCAGCATATGCACACACCTATGCTGTC